ACTCACTTGGTAGTCCAGGCTGGCCTCGAACTCACAGAGTTCCGCCTGCCTCTGCCTCCCGAGTGCTGGGATTAAAGGCGTGCGCCACCACCGCCCGGCCCTTCCTTTTACTTTTATTTAACTCTTCCTAGTTCCTTAATTTTTCCTCCTTTGACCTGCTTATTTCCCCCTAGACTTACGAGATTTCTATTTTTAAAGCACAGAGAAGTTGCATCTGACTTCCCATCATCTCTATTCACTTTTCAGAAATAGTCATTAACATTTCTCATGTTGTGAAATTAGCTCTGATGTATGCAAACATTTTCCCTCAATGTTCCTTACGAGCAGATGGGTCTCTGAGAAATGTGGTCCTCAATATGCTTGGAAGAGCCTAGTCTCCAATTTTTATCTCCATAGACTTTCCCCAGACATGTTACCTCTGCCTGTGAAGTACGTTTAATCATCTTTATTTCATGTTAACAGAGGTCATGAGAAGGATATCTAACATTGAATTTGTTTAATCATCTTTATTTCATGTTAACAGAGGTCATGAGAAGGATATCCAACATTGAATACTCTCATGGAAGCTTCCTAAGTTGATGCTAGGCTAACATGGAAGAGAGTTAGCAAATATCTAGAAGTCTCTGTTGGTTGTTAAGGATAAAGAAAACTAGTCTCCAAACCCTCTTCACTCAGTGCTGAGAATTTCCTTCAATTCTACCAAACATTCGCAAGAAATTGTCTTCTGCTCTGAGCACTTTACCATACAAATGCATAGGAAAGGGACATGGGAGACATTCAGTCACTTCTTCTTGCTCATTAGTTATACAAATTTAAATAATACCCTCACTTTATTCTTTGTGTTGTGTTTAAGATGATGCATAAAATCCTATAAACTAGACATATAATAGGGTGCTATGTGAAACTTCCATACACATATAAATTGCAGTGTGTTTAAATCATGTTAAACATAGCTGAAACATTTATCTTTCTTTTTTTTTTGTGAAAAGAACATTGAGAATTCTTTTGCAAAATTTTTTGAGTTACAGAACATATAATTGTTATTTATAGCTACCCTACTGTGTAATAGCCCACCAGGGTTTCTTATTAATGCTTCACAAGAATGAATTATAGGGAGAACAGAAACCACAGTATTACTCAGTTGAAACAAAGTTCATTTGCATAAAGCATTCTACCACATATTTTTAAGTAAGAAATTTCTAGCTGCATTGTATTTCTGAAGTTTTAAAATATTTGTCAGACTCTAGGAAATGCTGAAATTTAAGTAGTTTGAATCTCTCTTTTTGTATTAAATTGGGTATATTAAGTGGCTGGTCACAGAAAACCAATTAATAATGTTGGGAATACCAAAATAAACTACTGCTTGAGCTGTGGCCATGTGTAAATATGCCCTTGAACAAGAGTCTCAAATTTAAGCATTAATAATTATTCTGTACATATATAGTTATTATGTATAAAATAATCCTAAAATGTTAGGCATATTTATAACCAAAGATCGTGGGAAATACTAAAATGCAAATATGTAACTCAAAGTAAGTGTAACAAAACATGCCGATTCATGCCACTAATGAAAGTTCCTATCTACAGATGAATCTAAGTTAATCAAAGCATATAAAATATGTCTACACGAAGACACTTGTAAATTTTTAGTAATGTCAGAGGACTTCATTTGGGTATAAAGCCAGGTTTTTCTTCTCCAACACAGTGTGATGAAGCTGTTTTGCTATTTTCAGTGTGTCAAAGTCTCATTGGTGACTCTGCATATCTCTCACTTAGCCACCAAGCACCAAGCCTCAGCCAGGTGCTCAGTCAGTACCCTCTGACCGAAGAACCAAAGCTGCTTACATGTGTATACAGTTTCAGCAGACAATTTCAAGCAAAGCCATAGTAAAAAAAAAAGAAAAAAAAAAAAAGAACCATCATGGAAAAGAGCCAAATCTTCCATGTATGATCTATCTTTTTTTTTAAATTTATTTATTATGTATACAGAAGAGGGTGCCAGATCTCATTGCAGATGGTTGTGAGCCACCATGTGGGTGCTGGGAATTGAACTCGGGACCTCTGGAAGAGCATTCAGTGCTCCTAACTTCTGAGCCATCTCTCCAGCCCCCATGTATGATCTATCTTATATATTATTAAATTAAATTTAAGAATAATAAATTGACTTTAACAGAATAATTCAGATAGTCAACAGACATTTAAGGTTTGAAGTGTTTTTCTTCAAAAAGGAGTAAGACGTTTTTCCTGGACTTGGTGAGCATCCTCCACGGAAGGGGAGAAAGATCTCACACACCACAGAGACTAAAATGGGGAGCAATGCTTCCAGCTGAGCCCCCTCTTCCCAGTCATATCTCATTAGCATCGTCAACCCCAGACTCATGGTGCCCCATCCCTCATAACTGCATTTTTCTAACAGTTACTGTTAAAATTTAGTAAGACAAGAGTTGAAATTTTAGATCTGCTGTTATTGAAACAAAAATTTAAAAGTCTACAAAGGGCTATGCTATTTCATAAAAATGTGACTCTAAACTTTTTTCCTACACTGACCAGTTTTTATTATTTCACTTATCTGCATGTTAGTACAAATATCAATTCTTGAAACAGATGGACCCCCTACATAGGGATTGGTGCCTAACTCAAACTAGCAAAGTGATATACTGTCTCAGGAGGTCGCTTGTGTTCTCAATGAAACATCCCTAAGGCCTAAATGTTTAGCAACTTCTATTTCTATTTTTAGAAAATGACTCTCAAATGAAAACTCAGACTTCTGTGGAAAGAGCTGATTTGCATGAATTCCTTCACTCAACAGCAACTTTCCATTATCATTATACTGTGTCCTAAACAAGGGATTAAGACACAGATGAAGAATCAGGATTGCAGGAACATCCTAGGAAACCAAACAGCCATCACAGAATTACCCCTTGCTTACTTTGTTTGTTTGTTTGTTTGTTTTGTTTTGTTTTGTTTTGTTTTTGAGACAGGGTTTCTCTGTGTAGCTTTGCGCCTTTCCTGGAACTCTCGTGGTAGCCCAGGTTGGACTCGAACTCACAGAGATCCGCCTGCCTCTGCCTCCCGGGAGCTGGGATTAAAGGCGTGCGCCACCACCGCCCGGCCCTTGCTTATCAAGTTAGGTTGGAAGTTTGCTTGCTTTGCTTTAACAGTTATTGTCCCCAGCACTCTCCAGGCAGGGTTAAAAGCAATAAGGAGACTAGATGGGCATAATGGTAACCCATGGGCACTTTCAATGGCATCTCCCTATGGTATTTGTCCGTTCTGTTCCTCTTCTTCCAATTAGCTCCCATGAACCAGCACAGGTATCATCTCTCTAGACTAAACAAACTGGGCTCAGTCACAGACAGGATGTAAGGAAATGCCTCCTCGCTGACAGAGGGCAGGGATGCATTCACTGTGCAGCAGCTACTGACTATCTGCTGGGTGGCTGTAGTTAGCGGACCCAGAGCCCAGAGACAGACAAACCGAGTCGCGTGGACTGACGTAACAATGATGGTGTGTGAATAGCTGCAGCACACCCCTCGGAGGGAGAAATGAGCTGGAATGAGGCGGTCCAGAGGGTTCACAGAGACGGTACCACAAGAGCCTTGGGGCTTGATAAAAACCAACTTCTTAGGAGACAGACAATGGGTGGAAGCAAAGTTCAGACAGAGGGAAAAGCGTGAGCCAAGCCGGAAAGAGGAAACAGTAGCCATGTGTTGGGAAGACCTTGGATTCCAGCCAATGAAGAGAAAACGAAGGATGGGAAGACCAGGTAAGTGACAGAGTGAGAGAGGGCTCTTGGCACTGCCACTCAACTGGGAAGAGGCTCAGGCAAGCTCTAACCAAGTCACGTGACAGCTCCCAGGTCCCAGGGAAACCTTGGTTCTCTCCCATGTTCCCGTTTACTTGAGAGAGAGAGAGAGAAAAAAAAAAAGATCCCATGAGCCCAGGGTAGGGCGTCTTCAATGAGAATCAACAGCTGTTGTCTACCTGCTTGAATGCAGGGAAAACCTCTGCCCCCAATTCAGTATACATCCGGTGATGCCCAGTTGCGGCCAATCGAGAATCTAGTTAATCTTTGAAAACTCCTCAGGAAGTTACCATCCCTACCTTTCTTTGGAGCGATTGTGGTAACAGGGGTGCCAGAACCACGTGACTGCAGGCTGAGGGATCCCATACACGGTGCAAGTGAGGACTTGTCTGCTGCCCAGTGGGTAGAGAGCCGGGCTCGGAAAGGACGACACGGACTTTTCGTAGATCTGAGGTTTCGCTGGAGAGGAGGAGAGAGAGAGCAGTGAGAAGTCAAGGGCAGAGCCAAGGATTTCCTCCTGAATCTCTCGCATGAGAGACCGACCGGTCAGGTGGGGTTTGATGTCAGGAAACACCACCACAAACAAACGCTCATATTATGTAGAAAAATGCCCATTTGATTCCACAGTATGAATATCGTGATGGTAATAAGTCAAAGCCACCTTGTCTGCAGGAGGTAAGAAAACAAGAAGTAATAGATGGGCATCGTGGCACACGCCTTTAATCCCAGCCCTCGGAAGGCAGAGGCAGGCAGAGCTCTGTGTATGAGGCCAGCCTGGTCTACAGAGTGAGTCCCAGGACAGCCAGAGCTACACAGAGGAACCCTGTCTCAAAAAACCAACCAACCAACCAACCAACCAACCAACCAACCAACCAACCAACCCACCAACCAACCAACCAACCAGAAAAGATGAAGTAGTTGCCATGGGTCAGAAGTGCAGTACTTTTTCCTTTGTTTTTCTGTGGGGCTGGAACCCAGGGCTCTGTACTTACGAGGCAGGTACTCTACCACTGAACTTCAGCCTAACCACTAGAAACAGTTTAAGAATATAAAAATTCATGTGGGGCTGGAGAGACGGCTCAGCAGTTCAGAGCACCAGCTGCTCTTGCAGAGGACCCAGGTCAGGTTCCCAGCACCTACCTGGTGGCTCACAACCATCTGCAACTCCAAGTCCAGGGGACCTGACATCCTTTTCTGACCTTCTCAGATACCAGTATGCATGTGGCACACATACGTGCATACACCAATGCAGGCAAAACACTCATAAGATAAACTAAACTAAATTCAAAAACAAATACTTTGAAAGTTTGTTTTCTTTGACAGTTTATACTGACTTTGAACTCACAAATTGTCAATAATAGCCATAGAACGCAAAGATCAGGTGAAATTCAACTTACCATTTACAATCAGAGTAGCAGTGAGGTTTTTAAATAGGTTTGACTGCTTTATGGCCAGCAAGATCGTATAATCTCCTGCGTCCTCGGTGGTGACATCTTTGATAATTAGTGAGTAGCCGTGCACCGAATAGCGAGCAGACTTCTCCGTTGCAGGTGAGCCGTCTTTTAACCTGGGGTTAACAGCATGGTGGGTAAGTCAGGTCATTCATGTCATGATGTCACTTCGGTGGCATTTGCCATTTCAGTTTGAGACCTCAAGTGGATTCATTTTGAGTCTTTGGACATGAGCACTGGTTTTTCTTTTAAAAAAACTTCAGACACTAACTGTTTAATAAAGTCAAGTGAGAGATTTAAACTGGATAGATTTTCCTCTTTGTCCACAAAGAGGAAGGACTGAATGAATGAAGAAGAGAAAGTAGTGGCTGTACATACCCACGAGGGGGTTGGTAGCCAGTGAGACCTAAGTACCAACTCAGAGGCTCCGGTCTGAGTGGGTCAAGCTGTTCCTCAAGGGTTTCTTTAAGGCTCCATGAGCAGTGCAAGCGCTTTTATAAGTCAGATCAGCTAGATCTGATAAAAATTAAAAATAGACGCTCCCATTGTGGGCTCATGTGGAGTTCTTATTAATTACACAAATGGTCACACCAATTGTCCCTTTCACAGAGACACTGCCGTGAAATCAAGATAATCCCCCTTGAGGAAGAACAATGAGAGGTGCCAGGCAGCAGGAATTTAAAGATGTTTTTAATGTAGAATCGATGCCTTGATGTCATCTGTTTGTAGTGAGACTCGGGAGGCCTGGCCTGGCCTGGCCCTATCTGCATGCTGTCACAGGTGTGATGGCAGATAATCATCAGTGACTATCTATCTTGAGCTCGTGTCCCTCAAGACTTCTAGAAGTTCTCAAGACCCCTTCGAACTCAGTCTATGGCTTAATTTTATACTTTGTTGTTTTTTAAAGACTTACTTTTGTCTGATGTTTAAGTGTTTGCTTGCATGCACCTATGTGCACCATGTGTGTGCAGTACCCACAGAAGTCAGAAGAGGGCGCTGGACCCCCCGAAACTGAGTTATAGGTGGTTGTGAACTTCCTTGTGAGTGCTGGGAGGCGAATCCAGGGCCTCTACAAGAGCAGCCAGTGCTCTTAACCACTGAGCCATCTCTCCAGCCCTGTGATTTCAAATGCACAACAGGCCCTTTCATTTTTAGGGCGTGTACTGTGCTGTAGAAAGAGGTAGAAATGGTTCTTAGTCAGGCCTGCAGACCTGGGGACAAGCTCTCTGGGGACAAGTTCCGAGTCAGTTAAAATGGCTATGCTGGGATCACAAACAGCATGTTGGTATTGTTTTAGTTGCATCCTACTAACAAGGCATCGTTTCAAAAGTGGCTATTTTGTTGTATTGTTCCTTGCTACTCTGTTACTGAATAAACCAGCATGGACAGACAAGGGTGTGTTTAGATATGAAGGAATGAGTATGCTGCCTGCTCATTAAATTACCACCAACTGTTCTATTAAATTTAACAATTCTTCTTTTCTTAAACCATACTTTTGCATGTCTAGCAAGAAAATTATAACGTTTTAGTAACTTTTTAGATATTATAAAATAAAAATATCCATTTATTTCCCACTACAATGCTGTGAAGATTTAGTACATGGTTTCAACTTGTTATTTAATTTCCTATTAAATATTTGAGTTAGGAGCTGGGTGTAGTGGCGCACGCCTTTAATCCCAGCCCAGCACTCAGGAGGCAGAGGCAGGTAGATTTCTATGAATTTGAGACATTGGTAGATAATCAGGGCTATACAGAGAAACCCTATCTTGAACGCCACGCCCCCACCCCTGGCAAAAAAAAAAAAAAAAAAAAAAAAGTGAGTTAGCTGCAAATAAACACTGAAGGACTGAGGGCCAAATTCTTGTGAGGATTTTCCAAAATGGCAGTGCTTCTCTATTGTATGGATTGTTTTTCTAATCAACAGTGAGTGGACCTTTTGTTTAAAATGTAGTGATTTAAGCCAAGGATAATGGCATTAAAAAGTAATTTAGCAAAATGACTGCAGATTTAAGACAGATTGCATTGTTTTACGTGGGTGCTGTACTGGTCTGACTTTTTAAAGAAAAAAATCGTGTAAGGTATTTCTGAATACTTCAAGCCAAAGAAAACCGTAATTAATTCAAGTAGGTCCACTTGTCTACACCTACCCATGAGTGAGTCCTGCCGCTATTAATGTTTGTTGAAATTTTAAGCCAAGGCTGGGACTTTCAACCCAGCTACACATAAAGGAATTATTTTTGGCATCCTCATTACAAGGGCCCACTTCTTCAGGGTTAATAGAGCATGCTACACATTCAAGATGCCTCTGTTATTGCCCAGCACATCTCATTCAAAGGACGTTGACATCATAGGAAGGTTTGGAGATGCGGGGATTAGGTATGTGTGAGCGACTGCCGAACTGAGCGGGCACTCAAACCCCTCAACTCCTGCTTCACCCCTGGGCACCGCTTCCAGGTCCATCCAGCCCTCCCCGGTGCCACCACCCAGACATCAGCACCATGTCCACCTCTCCAGAGCTGCCCCAAACACCTTCGCTTGCTGTCTTTCAGGAATGGGAGCCACTGAAGTTCCTAAGTCCCCACTTATAAAAATCATCTTAACCGATACAGAAATGACTGCAGTCCTACCATACGACTTCTGGCGAGGGGAAGGCCTTCACTTTCATAGACAGACGGTAGGACCGCTTTCCCGCTATGGTTTCCTGCACCTGCTGCTTCCGATGCTTCACGCTGATGAATCCCTTTCCTTTGAAAGAAGAAATGATAGTGCATCAGGAAAGGATGCATTTACTCAACATACGCTCACCCCTTCCCTAAGAGAGATGAAGTCAACGAATGAAACATGCTGGAGCCTGTCCAGGAGCCCAAGTGCCAACCGACGAGTGATGCCTTCAGGTCAACTGCCAGCAAGTCCTAGAGACGTAAAGCAGCGTACAGGCGACCGGAGTATCTCCCACAATGACAAGGGACAGGATTTCTAAAATCTACCTAGCTGATACAATGAAGATGGAGAAAGTTGCTCTGGGCTGAAAAGTCAAGCTCCGGAAGGTAAAAGGGCAGAAAGTGTCTCCAAGAGCATGGGGGCTCTTCTCAGAACACTGTTTTCCTTCGCAGCAATGAACACAAAGTCTTTCGTTGTCCTTACAGAATTTACATCTCATGATCAAGCAACTGTTTGGGCATTCCGTGGTCCTTAGACAAGTTGCAGAAGATCATGAATTCCAGGTGATTTATCGTATTTTTCTACATCCACCTCATGGTAGTATCCGGGGAATTTCCCCCAGATAAAGTAAAACTGGTCCACAGGTTCAGCTTTGGTCATATGGAACAGTAAATGAGGAAATCGTGACTGCCTTACAATCTACGTTACTAATCGAAGCATCCAAAATCAAGACTGTCCACATCAAAGGCAGTATTTTTAAAAGTTAACATTCATCTTTGAGAATTTCACACACTCGCTATTGATCATATTCTCCTCCCCTTCTCCTTGTGGTAATTCCTTGAAGATCTAACCCATCTCCTCCCCACTCCCCGACTTCATATCCTCTCTTTTATTTAAATATCCTCTCTTTTTATTTAATAACCCATCAACTCCAGCTCGTGCTGGCTATATACTTGTGGGCGTGGAGCCATCTGCATGGGCACAATGACCTACAAGGGGCCACACCCTTAAAGAAAACTGACATCAACACCCCCCCCCCCCCCCCCCCCCCCAACACAGCTGGAGGGGGAGCAGAAGGGAAGGAAGAGCTGGAGGTGGGGAGCGAAGCTGTGAGGTGCTGGGATTAAAGGCGTGCGCCACCACCGCCCGGCGAGCCCCACTCTTAAAGATAAGTGACAAGTGACTCCGCCTTCCGCAGAAGCCATTAGCTGTCCACAGCTCCTCAGTTAGGGGTACGAGCTCGTGAATCCCTTCCGTAGCCACGTGGGAATGTTAACTGGCTTGGTCTTGTGCAGGCCCTGTGCAGACAACCACAACTGTCATGGGGTCATGAATGTGTGGTCTTGTCCCATCCAGAAGACATTGTTTTGCTCTGGTCCTCCCCCACCTCAGACTTTTACAATCTTTCCATTCCCTCTTCCCAAAAGTATTCAATTTAAAGAGTATGAAGTGTGCTTAATTTGCCTTTGGCGGCTCAAGGGAAGCAGCCTTCGTTCACGGTTGCGTAACTCTTAGTGAAAAGAACATTGACTTTTTTTTTTCTTTTTTGCCAATTCTTAATGCCTAGACCGCTCAGAAAGCGTAGTGTGAGTCTGCATGTCTGACTTCTGCTGCTTACCGTACACATGCACGGAGGTGTTGAACGATCTGAACGATGACCCACTCTTCACGCGGCAGGTATAGAGTCCCCTGTCATGGCGCTGCACGTTGCTGATCCTAAGAACACTGTGGAACACATTGTTGTGGCGACTGCTTTGGTCGATCCGCTGCCTGATGGTCGCCCTCTTCAATGCCTAGGAAGAGAACGCACAGTGGGTGGAGAAGTCCCCACTGTTCTTGCCCGAGGTTATGGTGGTTCTGCCTTCCTCAAATCAGTATTTAGGTTAGGAGGCACACCAGATCCACCACAAGCAAAGGGTCAGGAAGCCACGCCCTGTCTAGATTTGCACCCATGCGGCAGGCTAGCCTTTAGTTAGCACTCCACCTCTGCGAGTGGGGCCTTCACATACACATTGTGACCACCTGGTGAGATCCCAGGCTTTTGCTTTGTTACCAGCGAGGAAATGGAAGTGACAGAGGTATTGGCCCCAGAATACCAGGAACTCAGGTCCCTTGGGTATGCATTTAGTGATTTCTCCCCACCACAGGCTCTCTCCTCCAAACAGCAGCCTGTCTCCTCAGACTCAATGGTGGTGTTCCTGTAAATAAACACAAGTTCCCCTTCCTACCGGTGGGAATGGAAATTCAAGTCCTGGCTCCAACTACTCCCATTTCGTTATTTCACATTTTGAGCCATGCTCATCAGCTTCTGCTGAATGGTGGGAAAGGGACATGGGATGTGCACACCCAGAGGTCATTTCGGCCATCATCTGCAGGGCCTGTCCCTTGCTGTCTGGTTGGCTGCAGCGGCCTGCTCACTGTTGGGAGAAGATGCGAGGCCGCCTCCTTCAATTGTTCCTCTTATAACACGGACCGCGTCATTTCCCTCTCTCAAGTCCTTCCCTGGGGAGGGTCGTGGGAAAAAGCCTTGGAAGCTGTCCAGACAGAGCCGAGGGTCTCGAGTCTGGTTCCCTCTACCATGCTTAGTCAACTTTCACCCACCTGCCTTTTAATTCCCCGTTGGCACAGACATATGTTTAGGCCATTTGCGTGGTTCTCAGCAATAACAAAAGACACAACTGTCAATCACTGCTGTGAAAAGTCAGGACCAGTCTCCAGTGTAACAGACCCAGGAGCCTTTGGGCCGCTCCGTCCAGAGGCGTGACTTCCCCTCTAAAGAGTTTTCTTCCCAAGTGTGTTGTGGGCATGGTTTGTCCTTTGGGAAAGAACTCATCCAGGCCTCCAGCTCTGTGGCCACCAGCTGCATGTGGCCATTTAATACAGTCACTCAAGATGAGGAATTTCCCGCTGCAGCTAGTCAATTTAAGTGTTCATCTACCACAGTGGCTAATGGACACTTTATTGTACAAGACAGAAAGAGAATATTTCTATCACAGAAAATTCTACAGGACAGCACTGTTTTAGGTTACTGGCAGGGGCAGGGGGATGGAAAGATGACTCAGTGGTTAAGGGCACTGACTGCTTTCCCAAAGGACCTGGGTTCAAATCCCAGCACCCACATGGTAGCTAACAACTGTCTCTAACGCCAAGATCTGACATCTCACACAGGTTTACTTACAGGCAAAATACCAATGCACATAAATGTAAATAAATTTAAGGGGGAAAAAAGGTTATTGGTATTTGGTATATATAGTACTAATACCCTCTTTGAATTTTTGTTATTAACTGATTTATTTTCTGTGTATGGTATGGGTGTTTTGTCTGTCTGTATGTCTATACACCATGTGTGTGCCTGGGAGCCCGAGAAAGCCAGAAGAGGGCTTTGGATCCCCTGGGGTCTGGTGTTACTGATGGTTGTGAGCTACTATGTAGGTGCTGGAAATTGAATCTGGGTCCTCTGTAAGAGCAGCCAGTGTTCTTAACCTCTGAGCCATCTTTCCATCCTCCAGTATCAACATTCTTTGTTTGTTTGTTTGTTTGTTTGTCTGTTTTTTGAGACAGGGTTTCTTTGTGTAGCTTTGGAGCCTGTCCTGGAACTCGCTCTGTAGAGCAGGCTGGCCTCGAACTCACATTGATCCACCTGGCTCTGCCTCCCAATTGCTGGGATTAAAGGCATGCGCCACCATCCGGCTCAGTATGAACATTCTTGATAGCAATAGGAACTGGATAAAAGTCTCTTCCCTCTTGACATTTATCAAGAATTTTTATTTCTATCAGAAGATATTGCTTCATGTTATTGCATTTTTATTTAAACGGAGTAACAGTATTTTCTAGAAAATTGTCAATATCTGATCAGTTCCTATAGGGAACATATTACATCTTTTGTTGCAAAGTTTTTCTATTTCCACAGAAAAAAAAAAAAAAAAAAAAAAAAAAAGAGAGTTGATGAAAACAATTTGGAGCTGAAGCATTAATCTTTTGTTCACGATTTAATCATAAATTAATTTTGATTGGCAGTCTGAATGACATAACAAACGCCTGTCCTTGGGATGTGCAACATAAATCACCCTGGCACATGAGAAATGGGAGCGGGCCTCCTGCCAGCGTTTTCTTCCCAGCTTATCGCTGTTTTCCCATCCGTGTGTTTCAATAAGTAACCGGCGCTTGCAAGGATGCTTCACCTGAACAAGGAAACCAGCTCTGCCTCCAAACCCCTCATTTTCACTCTTGAAGGACAGAATGGCCCCTTTGACAGTTAAGGAGTGCCGCATTGGCTGGCTGGCTTGAAGTATCTTTACCAAACACACCGTAATCAGGTGCCTGACTGTCTGCCAGAACCTTCTATGAATGCACTGACAAGGACAATCTCCTGAAGAGTTGTTATGACAGAAGATAGTCCTTGCCTGGCATTGAGTGATAAATCCCCCCCCTTCTTGCAGTCCTAATGCAGGAACGGACCAGCCCGCTTGCCTTCCAGACTCACCAGTGGAAAGAGCAGCCTTTACCCTTCAAAACAAGGCCCAGACATCAAAGCCCGGATCTGCACTATCACAGCCAGGGACCGCCAGGCTAGGGAGGCACCCGTTCAAACCTGCCGCTTTCCTGTCCACCCACACCGCCCTGGGAGCAGGATTTTCTCATTTTTCCCACTTCAAAAACCCAGTGGGGTTTCACTCGCTCAAAGCAGACGCAAACAGTGCCCTGCGGGAGGAAGAATTGGAAAAGCGGCACTCACTTTACCAGGGTAATTCCAGCTCATCTGCACCCTCGTGTTCAGGTCGGTGGTCGCGGTGCAGTTGAGGGTAAGAGTTTGACCGTGCAGCAATCTCACTGGGCTTGGAGGCCTTATGCGGACATCTAGGATCGTATTGGCTGCAAGTATAAGATGAAAAAAAAAATGTTAAAAAAAAATGAAGATTTCACAGGTCAGAGGGAGGCGAAGGACTGTGCCCGGGGTCCACACTCGTGGGGACAGTACTTACTTTGCCGATAGGTCAAATAGTTTGTCTGGTACAGGTGCCCGTTGACTGTGGCCTCGCAGTTCAGGAGTCCTATTTCCCTGTAAGTGGCATTTGCTATTATAAAGCCTTTCCTACTGTCCCATGTAATTCTTTCTCCATCAGCGGTCAAAGTATCCGATGGAAACTGGAAAGGAAGAAACACGCTTAACAAGAGTCCTGGTAGGGATGTGTCAACACAACAGGAGAAAACATGGCTTCCCCCTGCAGTGCAAACCGCTGCACGGAGCCATTCATGGACGGTGCGGGACACTGACTGAGAAGTCACAAGGATCATCACCAGAGCCCACTGTGGCCAGGAGTCCCCTGCACTGGAACCAAGGTATTTTCTTCCTTCCTTCCTTCCTTCCTTCCTTCCTTCCTTCCTTCCTTCCTTCCTTCCTTCCTTCCTCCCTCCCTCCCTCCCTCCCTCCCTCCCTC